TTTTTTTTTTTTTTTTTTTTTTTTGAGATAGGGTCTCACTCTACTGCCCAGGCTGGAGCACAGTGTCATGATCATGGCTCACTGCAGCCTCGACCTCCACAGCCAAGAATTTCTCCCATCTTTCAACCTCCTGAGTAGCTGGGATTACCAGCATGCACCACCATGTCTGGTTAATTTTTGCATTTTTGGTAGAGATAGGGTTTCGCCATGTTGGCCAGGCTGGTCTTAAACTCCTGGGTTCAAGTGGTCTGCCCACCTTGGCCTCCCAAAGTGCTAGGATTACAGGGGTGAGCCACCGTGTCTGGCCAGAAATATTTATTTTCCTGAAGGTGAACGGGCAGAGAAGCAGAGAGAGGAGGGAGGAACAATAGCAGGCATCTGAGAAAGCGCTGATGCCCTGGGCTGTAGGTGACATGTGAGTGGCGAAGAGAAGCTCACGGAAATTTTGGAGGCAGAGGGGACAAGACTGGCCGGTGCACTGGACAAGGGGCAATCGTGCGATTCTGTGCAGGCCCCAGCCCGCCAGGTCATCAGTGGCCCCATCTGGGAGACGAGCTGACCCGGAACAGGGCGGGGACAGGGTCTCTGATGGGGTCTCTCTTCCCCACTTTCCCCAGGGTCATGAAGAACTCCCCTCTGGAACCAAGAAGCCCCGTGGCTTCCTGCCCACCAGTGAGGACCGTCTGTTTTTCCTGGGGCAGAAGGAGCTGGAGGGGGTGGGCTCCTGGACCGCCTGCAGTGGACATGATGGTGGTCAAGACCAGCGGGAGACAAACCTCTGAGGATGGGCCTCGGGACCGATGCCCTGGGGTGGAACCTCAGGATGGGCCAATCCCAGACCACGGCTCACACCCTCGGCTCCAATTGGCTGGATTGTCTTGTATGCAAATGAGTTCAGGACCATAGGCCCTACCCTATGGGAGGAGGCAAGGCCCTGCCTCGAGGAGGTCATGTTTTAAATCCAGCCCCCTGCTTCATTAGATGCTGTGGCCCCGATGGCTCCCCCAAAATAAAGCTGGGTTTTTCTCTCTTTTTTTTTTTTTTGAGATGGAGTCTTGCTTGTTGCCCAGGCTGGAGTGCAGTGGCACGATCTCAGCTCACTGCAACCTCTGCCTCCCAGGTTCAATCAATTCTCCTGCCTCAGCCTCCCGAGTAGCTGGGATTACAATCATGTGCCACCACACCCAGCTAACTTTTTGTATTTTTAGTAGAGACAGGATTTCACCATGTCGGTCAGCCTAGTCTTGAACTCCTGACCTCAAGTGATACACCCACCTCAGCCTCCCAAAGTGCTGGGATTACAGGCATGAGCCGCTGTGCCCAGCCTACCGTTTTCTCAATGTATGATAGAAGGATGTTACAGTCCCTCTGGACAACATAGGAAACTCCCAGACCTAACATCAGGATCTGAGAAAGACCCCAGCTCTTACTTGAAACGTGTTTAACCTTATTATTTTTTTGAGACAGAGTTTAGCTCTTGTCACCTAGTCTGGAGTGCAATGATGCGATCTCGGCTCACTGCAACCTCTGCCTCCCAGGTTCAAGCAGTTCTCCTGCCCCAGCCTCCCGAGTAGCTGGGATTATAGGCACCCACTATCACATCCACCTAATTTTTGTATTTTTAGTAGAGGCAGGGTTTCATCATATTGGTCAGGCTGATCTCGAACTCCTGACCTTAAGTAATCCACCTGCCTCCGCCTCTCAAAGTGCTGGGATTACAGGTGTGAGCCACCACGCCTAGCCAGAGCCACTGTGCCCAGCCTGTGTTTAACCTTAGCAAGCATTTTGGAGGTCCTCAGGCCCGACCTCCTTGTGCTCCGTTTCAGAGGCAGAGAAACTGAGGCTGAGAGAGGAGGGCAATGGCTTGGCCAAAGACACTAAAATAGCAATCCAGGCATTCACCAAGAGTTGAACACCAATGCTCTCTCCTTTCTTTGTTCTTTTTTTTTTTTTTTTTTTTTGAGACAGTCTCACTGTCACCCAGACTGGATGCAGTGGCGCAATCTCCACTCACTGCAACCTCTGCCTCCTGGGTTCAAACGATTCTTCTGCCTCAGCAACCTAAGTAGCTGGGATTACAAGTGAGCACCACCATGCCTGGGGAATATTTGTAATTTTGTGTTTTTGTAGAGATGGGGTTTCGCCATGTTGGCCAGGCTGGTCTCGAATGCCTGATCTCGGGTGATCCTCCTGCCTTGGCCTTCCAAAGGGCTGGGATTACAGGCGTGATGCACTGTGCTCAGCCTCTTCTTTATTTTCTTCCTGGGACTGGGGAGGCGATGAATCAGACCCCACATGGCCTCCATGGCCCACACCCCTGCCATATCTCCCATCACCCTGAGCCTGCTGACGTCCCCTCCTCACCTGACAATGGAGGCTCTTGAATTAGGTTGTGTCCCCACCAAAACTCATGTCCACCCAGAACCTCAGAAAGTGAGCTTACTTGGAAACAGGATCTTTGCAGGTATAATTGGTTACATTAAAACAGGTCTTGGCTGGGCATGGTGGCTCACACCTGTAATCCCAGTACTTTGGGAGGCCAAGGCAGGTGGATCACGAGGTCAGAAGATGGAGACCATCCTGACCAACATAGTGAAGCCCCATCTCTACTAAAAATACAAAATTAGCTGGGCATGGTGGCCCGTGCCTGTAATCCCAGCTACGTGGGAGGCTGAGGCAGGAGAATTGCTTGAACCAGGGAGTTGGAGGTTGCCGTGAGCCAAGATGGCACCACTGCACTCCTCCAGCCTAGTGACAGAGCGAGACTCCATCTCAAAAAAGAAAAAGAAAAAAAAAGAAATCTGACTGGAGGAGGATGGATGAATCCAGTGCCTAGTTCCTCACATGAAGTAGAGAAAGGTACAGAGAAACACATGGGGAAGACGCCATGTGGAGAGGGGCAGAGGTTGGATCGATGCGTCTTGAGTCAGAGAACCCGGGGATTGCCAGCAGCAACCAGAAATCAGGAGGGAGGCAGGGGATGCACTCTTTCTTAGAGCCCTTAGAGAGAACGTGGCCCTACTGATACTTTGATGTCAGACTTCTGTCTGCCAGAACCGTCAGAGAATAAATTTCTGTTGTTTGATGCCACCAGGCCTTTAGTGATTTGTGACAGCAGCCACAAGAGCTCATACACACCTTTTTTTTTTTTTTTTTTTTTTCTTTTTTGAAACAGTCTCACTCTGTCACCCAGGCTTGGAGTGCAGTGGCACCATCTCAGCTCTCTACAACTTCTGCCTCCCGGGTTCAAGCCACTCTTTTTCCTCAGCCTCCCGAGTAGCTGGAATTACAGGCATGTGCCACCACGCCCGGCTGATTTTCTAATTTTTAATAGAGATGGGGTTTCACCATGTTGGTCAGACTGGTCTCGAACTCCTGATCTCAAGTGATCTGCCCGCCTCAGCCTCCCAAAGTGCTGGGATTACTTACAGGCATGAGTCACCACGCCTGGCCTCATACACACCTTCTGATCCCGCTTCTCTTCAGCCCTTAGAGAGCTGGTCCTCTGTGCCTGCTGTTGGGATTGGACACCTTTAAATTTGGACTTAAAACTGAGCATTACAACTTTAAAATCAGTGACTTGGGGTGCGGTGGCTCATGCCTGTAATCCCAGCACTTTGGGAGGCTGAGGCGGGCAGAGCACTTGAGGTCAGGAGTTCAAGACCAGACTGGCCAACATGGTAAAATCCCGTCTCTGCTAAAAATACAAAAATTAGCCAGGTGTGGTGGCAGGTGCGTGCGGTTCCAGGTACTCGGGAGGCTGAGGCAGGAAAATCACTTGAACCTGGGAGGTGGAGGTTGCAGTGAGCCAAGATTGCACCACTGCACTCCAGCCTGGGCAACGGAGCAAGACCCTGTCTATCTGTCTGTCTCTCTCTCTCTCTCTCTTTCTCTCCATATATATATATATATGGAGTCTCACTCTGTTATCCAGGCTCGAGTGCAGTGGCAGCATCTTGGCTCACTACAACCTCCGTGTCCCAGGTTCAAGCGACTCTCCTTCCTCAGCTTCCTGATTAGCTGGGATTACAGGCATGTGCCATAATCTATATATAAAAAAATAAATGAGCCACACGATAAGCAGATTTTCCACCTCTGCGTAGTGCTCACTCAGAACAGAGCCCAAATCTGGGGTGGGAGGAGACACATGGGGTAAGGATGGACAAAAGTTCCCTCAAGCGGCTGGGCGCGGTGGCACGTGCCTGTAGTCCCAGCTACTTGGGAGGCTGAAGTGGGAGGATTGCTTGAGCCCAGGAGTTCTGGGCTGCAGTGCGCTATGCTGATTGGGTGTCCGCACTAAGTTCGGCATCAATATGGTGACCTCCCGGGAGCGGGGGACCACCAGGTTGCCTAAGGAGGGGTGAACAGGCCCAGGTCGGAAGTGGAGCAGGCCAAAACTCCCGTGCTGATCAGTAGTGGGATCGCGCCTGTGAATAGCCACTGCACTCCAGCCTGGGCAACATAGCAAGACCCCATCTCTTAAAAAAAAAAGTTCCCCCAAGCGAGCAGAAGAAGCTGATCTGGCTGTAGCTGAGAGATCCATTCAGTGTTCATTCCATCTACGCGGAGTAGTATCCCACTGTGCAAAAGGACCGTAGTTTATCACACATTCACTAGTTGATGTACGGGTTGTTTTCAGTTTTTGAGTATGAGAAATAAAGTTGCTATGAACATTCATGTACAAGTCTTTGTATGGACACCAGGCGCAGTAGCTCACACTTGTAATCCTGACACCTGGGGAGACTAGGCAGGAGGATCACTCGAGACCAGGAGTTTGAGACCAGCCAGGGCAACATAGCGAGACTCCATCTCTACAGAAAAATTTAAAAATTAGCCAGGTGAGGTGGTGCATGCCTATAGTCCCAGCTACTTGCAACGCTGAGGTGGGAGGATTGCTTGAGCCCAAGAGGTCGAGGCTGCAGTGAGCTGTGTGCACCACTGCACTCCAGCCTGGGTGACAGCAAGATCCTGTCACTTTTGTTTCTTTATGTGGACATATACAGATGCTCCTTTGAGGTGTTTGTATCCAAGTAAACCCATCATAAGGTGAAAATATCACACACTGAAAATATATTTAACACACCTGACCTGCTGAACATCATAGCTTAGCCTAACCTACCTTAAACATGCTCAGAACACTTACCTTTGGCCCAGTGCAGTGACTGACATCTGTAATCCCAGCACTTTGGGAAGCTGAAGTGCACAGATTGCTTGAGCCCAGGAGTTTGAGACCAGTCTGGGCAACAAGGTGAGGCCCCAGCTCTACCAAAAATACAACAGCAACAAAAAAGCTGGGCGTGTGGAGGTATGCGTCTGTGGTCCTGGCTACTTGGGAGGCTGAGGTGGGAGGATCGCTTGGGCCATTGAGGGCGGAGGCTGCAGTGAGCTGAGATCTCACCACTGCACTCCAGCCTGGGTGACAGAGCAAGACCCCGTCTCAAAAAAAAAAGGACACTCGCCTTAGCGCAAAATCATCTTTTTTTTTTTTTTTTTTTTTTGAGACAGAGTTTCACTCATGTTACCCAGGCTGGAGTGCAATGGCACGATCTCAGCTCACCGTCCGCCTCCTGGGTTCAGGCAATTCTCCTGCCTCAGCCTCCTGAGTAGCTGGGATTACAGGCACGCACCACCATGCCCAGCTAATTTTTTGTATTTTTAGTAGAGACGGGGTTTCACCATGTTGACCAGGATGGTCTCGATCTCTTGACCTCGTGAGCCACCCGCCTCGGCCTCCCAAAGTGCTGGGATTACAGGCTTGAGCCACCGCGCCCGGCGGCAAAATCATCTTACACAAAACCTGTTTTGTAATAAACTGCTGCATACCTCATGTAATTTATTGGATACGGTGCTGAAGCAAGGTTTCCACGGAATGCGGATCGCTTTTGCAGCATCGTAAAGCTGAAAAATCCTAAGTCGAACCATCAAAAGTCAGTGGCCATCTCTATCTTTGTAAGCAGACAGGAAGGGTCTCCAGGACTACAGGATTT